ATGTAAGCAACAGAAAGCTACAGCGAATTTTTCCTTCACTTTACTTGGTAGGAAAAATTTGTCTGTTATCTCTCTGGAGCTAAAACCCTCAGCCAGAGTCAAATTATTCAGTGGTCTTCAGAACAAAAGTTTCAGGCTGTGCCAACACTTGCCTTCCTGTGCACATGGGCACATCGTAGTTCTAGTGAGCAGGGATTCTTTTGGGTCAGTTGTCTTCTGAAATTGTAAGCCAGATCTTTATACCAGTCCAAGTAATTTCTGTTGCATTTCTGTAATAAAAGACTCTTAGTGCTCTGGGGAAAACAGAAAACTGTGTGGGTGCCTTGGCAGACAGTGGTTTAAAAATATCTGTGGTCTATGTGGTTTTATTGAACAAAATGTAGGATTTTCCATCCTGTGGTTTAAATTTCCAAGTGCTGGAGCTTGTAGAATTTGTTTTTCTGAAACGTTCCTTGTGTCTAAAAGCAAGTCCTTACTTACATTTAGTCAGAGCTGGCAGGAGTTGGCTCTGAGAAGGGATAATAGATACTTTGGAATTGTTTAGGGGCCCCAGTTCAGTTGTAAGATATGAGATATAATATATATATATATGAGATGTAATATATAATGTGTATATATAATATCTATAATAAAATAATATATAATAGATATGTAAGATATATATATATAAAAATACAAACGTTTTAAATGTACAGTGCTCAGTTTTTTCTCAAACAGACAGTGATTAAGGGTGATATCTTTCAAATACTGTTATTCTCATGTACCTGCTCAGTGATACGTGAGAAGGAGAGTTAAAGGTGTGTTGAGAGTTCTTAGTACCTTCATTATGCTTTGAATCCCACTGGCAGAGCTCCTTGACAAATCCTAAGGGAACTTTTGAGCTGCAGGTTTGTTCAGACTGCTGGGAGAGGTTTCATTCATGACTGTGAGAAGTTCCATGGAGCATAATGCATTTGTTTAAGTGCCACTTGGCTACCAACAAAGCACATCCCTGCTTAGTTCAAAAGTGGGAGGAGAGTTAATATTTTAATGGCTAAAATTAAGAATCAAACTGGTGAAGAGTATGATGAAATAGCAAATCTCATTTTGGAAGTTACAGTGTGACATATGTTTAGACCTAGCATAAATTTGCCTTTTTTTTTGCGTTGTAATACTCTTACCTTACACTGCTTTTCAAAAGCTGAAAAACCTCAGGCCCCCATTTACATGGAGATTCCTTTGTTTCACCAGTCAGCAGTGCAGATGGTGCTTTCTTCACAATGGATCTTGTTGCAAAGTCCCTCTTGAGAGTAGAGTTTATGGGCATCTTGGGAAAAATGACCAGAGCATCAGAAATTGTACCATTTTGTTATAACAAAAAATAACCAGATGAAAGTCCCATTGAAAATGAAGTCAATTAATTCAAATAAATAGTGAATTTCACTGAAGTCTCTGGTTTGATTTTCTGACCTTATTTCTCTTTTTGAGTAAAAGAAGCTCTGTCTGGTTTATTAAGCTGAGTGGTTCATGGAAGGCCTGGATATGCCCCATGTGGCATGAGGGAATGGCCAGATGTTTAGGAGTGGGAGAAGAGAAAGGAACAATAAAGTTTTGCTTGTGACTGACTTTGAACTTGCATTAATAAAGACAACGGCATGCTCTTGAAGGAAGTTTTTTGTTTAAATTTCTTCTGAAAAAGTTCTCTGGATTAAATGTATGTGTTTTTAAAGCAAGAAATCCCCCAGAGCCAGATATTTTGAAAACATACCTCGTGGATTCGTTAAACTAATCTCAAGGATTGCAGTGGTATTTACTTTCAAGGCATCTTCTTTTAAACTAATTCCTAGCTGATTTACTTTCAAGGCGCTGTCAAGAAGGGCATGTTGGAGTTCAGCTGAGTATTTGCTTTCCTGGGTGAGGTGTTTGGGTTGGGAATCTTTCATTTTCAGTTCTCCTACATGATGTTTAGTTGTCATAGCTTAGAACATAGCCTGCTTCTGTAGAGTGATAGAGAATACCAAAACGTCTTCACTGTGACTGTGATTCTTGGTCAAACAAAATATTCTTAATTTCCAGGTGATCTTCTTGATGTTAAGCTTCTTTCAGTCATTGTGTTTCATGTGCTGCCCTTGCAGTGCAAAGCAGCTGCTGGTTGTTTTCTCCCGCTAAGCACACAGCCCATCGCTTTACCTATTTCTGAGTCAGCTAAATGTCTTAATCTTCTTGATTTCCTTTTTATGTCCCATTTGTACACCTGCCATCTCTGACAGGTTGTTGGGGTTGTGAGTGCTTCTGCATCAACTCACTCGGCTTTGTTTAGGGGCTGAACCTCCATAGCACAAGTAGAAACCAACATTGCTCAACTTCTTCACCATCTTAGTTTATGTTGAGGAGATTGCAAAATTGCAGCTTCCTCTTACATGCAGAAAGCCTTGCCTCTCTATTGGCCTTTGGAGATTTGTAATGAGTGGCAAAACTCTGAGTTTGAGGCTGGCAGCAGCAATCTAATGAGCCTCTTTTCTGAGGTGCTTGAGCTTGGCACAGGCAGTCTTGTCAATACTGGTAGACAGTGGAGGTTTAAAAAAAAAAACAAAAAAACCTTGTAGTGCACTTCTGGCTGAGCTCATCAAAGAGAGACCGACATTGGAGTATTTACTGGCTTGGTAATTACTGCTTTTTGGACTTCACACAAAGAACAGAGCTATGTCTGGCTTCTGAAATGATGGTTTGCCATAGCTAAGAGAGAACTACTTAGTTCTTTTACAAATCTTTTATAGTAATGTGCTGCGTGTTTGAAGTACCTGGACATTTAACCACTATCAGACATATTAATATTTGATTAATTGAAGACTTTAACAGACAAGTAAAAATAAGATGTGAAAAATAAAAGTTAAAAGAAATGTCACACTTTTGTGTTTGCTTAGACTTCTGGTATAAAGAGATGAGATGTGAAGATTGTGATAATTACTTTTAAAATAATTGCCACTGTTTATTTACAGTGTTCATTTTGTCTGGTCCTGTGCATTTCTTTAAAGGCTAATACTGTAATTACAGCAGCAGTATGAATTATGTGGTTTTTCTTTCAATCCACTTTGCTAAAGCCAAAACTCTTCATGACTTAATTGATGTAAATTGACCTCAGTTCCTTTTTATGTGCCATGTAGATATATATGTATGCTTGTAGGAATATCCTGTAGCTCCTTACAGCAGATGGGTTTTTATTCTTTGAAAATAGAGTTTTCAATAGATGAACCTACACAGTTCTTTCTAACTGGAGTAGCAGTCATGGTGTGGATTTCTAAGATACCAGTGAGAGATCAGAGAACAAGCTAAGTTATAGAATTATTAAAATATCTCTTTAAAAAATAACCTTTTTTGTGTAGGTGGTTTACTATTATGGCTGGTGATACTGAAGGCATTTTGTTCAGAGTTCTTCTGATCCATTGTCTCTGGGACTCAGTCTGATTGCATGTCTTATGAATTCCTCTACAGTTCTTCTTATTTATTAATATGTATTATTATTAGCACTAGTATTAAACATGAAGTGATTTATTTCTGTTCTTGGTTTGACAAAATAGTGAATTAAGTTATTATGCAAAACTGTTTTCTTTTGGGAGTTGTCCTATCAGTCTGATCTTAACTATTCCTTTCAGTTTAATAAAAATTAACGTTTCACTATGGTTATTATTTTGTTTTGCTAATTCCTTGCAGGAATTTTTTCTCTTCGTAAGATTATTACGGTTTTCTTTTCAGTCAATTAAATTCTTACTCCTTCAGTAATGGCTATCATACATGTAGGCTTTGTATTTTAAAAGCATGGAAGTTGGCACTCAAATCTCTTTCATTTTTAATTAATTGGAGCAGTTTGACTTGTGTTTCACTTAAACAAATTCTTCAAAGGCTAAGCTATTTAGTGACAAATTTGTAGTTGTCCTTATTTCAACGTTTTTCCTTGTTATTTATCAGATTAGTGAGCTAAAGTTTGGGTTGTATATAATCACAGTAGTAAGATCCAGTGCTTTCCCCTAATGTGTGAATTTTCTGTTAGGAATAATTTCGTAAAATATTTCATACTGTCTGTTGTAGAATAAAGGTTACATTTTGTAAACCATTCCTTCCTGAGTTTTAATAAGATTAAAACAGGATGGATAAGGAATTCAGTACCTTGTGATTGAGCAATGTATTCTTTTATGGATCTTTTTTAGTGGTTAGACTGTGACTTATTGGAACAGCCAAATATGAAAATCTGTTATGTGTTATTTTGGCTTGGCAGAAATAATGCAAAGAACTGTCAAAAGCAAAGAATATGCAGAAGCTGTAATTTCCTTTTTACCACTGAAGAATAGATTTGGCCAGAGTATGCCTTTAATGCTAATCTATCTCTGTGTGGCCAAACAGATTTTTGGAACCTTTTTTTAGTATATTTACTTTCTTTTCACTTCAAGCCAAATGTTAAAATAATGTTGGCTTTTTTTTTTTTTTTTTTTTTTTTTTTTTTTTTGAGTCTGTGTAAGGTGGTGATGTTTAAAAAAACTAAACAAAACACACAAAAAAAACTCGGATTCTTGTTTGTTCCAACTGTATTTTTTGTAACTTTATATCATTTTAAATTTTTATATCATTTAAAATTCTCCAACGGTACCAAAAGAATGCATTACAAAATTCAGCCATAGTTTAGCTGGCTTTGTAAAAAAAACTTAATTTCAGGCATTATTAAACTGATAAAAGCATATTATTCCTTCTACACATCAAACAGAAAGTGATTTCCTCTTTTGCTTATAGTGGAGCCGTGCTATTTAAGCCTTCTTAGCTGATGACTAGAAATACTTCTATCTTAAAGCATTAATTTGATTTATTTAATATAATATCTCCTCTTCCTTTGCCTGAACACATTTGTTTGAACATCTTGAGTACTTCAAAGGGATAGGACAGACTTATTCATGCTGTACATGTCTTTCCATGGCTTTTGGTTTAGAATAAAACAATTAAATCTCTCTTTCTACTGTTTCGATTCCATACAGATGACAGCATCTCAGCTGCAAGCACATCTGATGTCCAAGACCGACTTTCAGCCTTAGAGCTGAGAGTACAACAACAAGAAGATGAAATCACTGTCCTAAAAGCAGCATTGGCTGATGTGCTAAGGCGCCTTGCTATCTCTGAAGACCATGTAGCTTCTGTGAGAAAATCAGCTCCAAGTAAAGGTAAGCTCATGTTCAGTAAATTTTTTCAGTCTGAAAGTTATCATTTAATACATTTTCCATTGGTAACTTTTTCCTTCCCCTTTTTGTTTGGACAAGCAGGTATATTTTGTGTGAAACAGTGCTCTTTTTTTGTCAAGGATTATTTAAAAATTTTAAAACACGTTCAACAACAGCAACAACAAAAGCAAAACAAGAAAAACCCTATTTGCACTAATTTGTCTATGTTTGCATGAATATTTTGTGATTTTTTTTTTTCCCATGAACATTTCGTTTTCCGTTTTGGATAACTATGTGCATTGTTATTGGAATTTACTCTGACTTTAAACTAGAGAGGGAGAACTACAGCTATGTATGTTGGTGATATATGTTAGACCTACAACTAAATAAAAGGTTAGTCATGTTTCAGCTAATTTACAGTTCTAGTTCATCATAAATGCATTTATCTCCACGAAATCATGCAGTCCAGAAGTTGCTGGACTCTTTCTCTGTATGTCAGCTTTCAAGTTCAGCTATTACTCCAATGCTGGTGTAACGCTGAACTGACACACCATACCCTGTGTTTGTTAAAGTGGCTGTGTTGTACAGGCTGAAAATGCTGAAAGTTTGAATTGTTTTAGCTATGGCAGAGAGATCAAATTGCTTAATTAAGTGTTTTTGCAGTCTCTCTGCCAGATGGAAGGAAGTGATGGTGCTTAATTGGCTTGGGTTGTGAATCCTGCCATTCTCTCTTACTCGCTAAATGGTAGACTGTTGTCATCACTGCTTATAAATGCAGCTTTATCTGTATGATACGCATCTCCGGTCTCATCAAGATTGAGACATCCTTGTCTAACTCTTTAAATTAAGCTGAAGCAAGTATTTCAGCTAAATCAGTCTTTGCTGTCTGCTATCTATTAGGACAAAAAGAAAATGTCTAAGTGGGAAACCGTGAGCAAAAGGAACGCAACACAGAACCTTCTTCCTGTTTATGTGCAGAGTAACAGAGATGTGCACAAACACGGATAAAGACTTTTGTCTTGGAAGTGTTTGATATCCAGAAAACGTGATGCACATGCCTTGTTCTGCAGAATGACTTGTAGCTGTCTCCTTCTGGGGATACAGGAGGTCTTGGGGCCATAGCAAGTTCTGCAGGTCAATTTCTTTAATGAGAAATAAATATATTTTTTTTTCCTAGAGAGGAAGAGGGAAGATTCTAAATATCTTCAACTTCATGAAGTTTCTAGTAATTAATGACAGCGGCAGTAACTGAGGAAAAAAAAAGTGGATGGGAGGGAAGAAGGGTGAGATGAATGCATAAAAGCATATACATTGAACATAGTTGAATCATGACTAAATTGACACTGCGTTTAAGTTGCCTGTGATGTGAACTCGTCTTCAGTTGCCTAATGTAACCATGCAACGCTTAGCTTCACTGTTTACCATAAAATCAGCTGCGTATTGACGGCATAAAGGTATCACAAAAGAAAAAGACTGTATACAGCTGTGGGAGGTGGAGAATGAACTAGATATTAATATTGTTTTGGACTTAAATTTCAGTATTTTATTAAATATTTCAAAATAAAATCATGCATAGCTTTTTGTGATGCTGTGGGTGGTTATTTTGCTTTCTGTATTTTAACTGCATTCAGTTGGTGGGGAACCCTCGAAACATTTTAACAAAGGGAAACGTACTGTATTCCTGAATTGACAGGATTGGCAGAAGATCTGAATTGTCATACAAAAATAATATAAGCATTGATTTTAATTTTTCTTTGAAGTATTTCATGGGTGTTTAACAGGCTTTTACTTGTTAAGTCATGGTTGTTACAAAGGTTATTGTAATTCTCCAAAATACTTTCTGGTGTTCGTGATTCTGTCGAAAGTATAGGTTTCTGCATTTCAGCAATTAGTTTCGTATCAAATAATACAGTGTGTTGTTTTTTTTCCAATTTCATTTAATTTTCATACTTCACAGAAGTATGTCTCTAAAGCAGTACTTGCTTTATACGTGCTGTCATTATTAATGAGTAACAAGAAAAGATGTGTATGTTTTTCTGAATACATTGAGAGATGTGTTTAATTTGAAGCGTGGCAAGAAAGTGAGATATATTATTCTGAAATAAACTGAGAAGTAATGGGACTAGAGAAAAAAAGGCATCCTGAATCTTTCCATCAGAGTTTTAATCTGAGTAGCAGATGATATCTAGCCTGCTTTGAAAGAGTCTCTCCTACTTGCTGCTGAAATGTTTTCTAAAGCCTCAGTGTTTTTTCTATAACCAGTTCAGCAGTGTCCTTGAAGAGAGATTTTTCATAAGCTAAAAATAAGTGCTGTGAAGAGACCAGTTCATGCTGAAAAGACCAAATACAGATCACTTTTAAACTGATATTTCTCATCCTGAAGTCGATATGCTAACTTGGTGCAATAAGAGATCTCTTCATCCTTTATGGTTATTATGCCTGCAATGCATATCTGGAAAGCTAATTCTTCTGTTTCTTTTTATACCCTTTATTTTACATTGAGTGATTGAGTCAACCACAGCAGAGGCTAGAATTTCTTGCATTATAGTCTTTGTTTTTCTTTTTTTCTACATAGTTTTTGTTGCATACTTATTTTGAATGTAGTCCAGTCTTCAGTGAAAAATTTGACGGAGGCAAGGGTAGATTTCTATTTATGCTGCATGGTCTATCATTTAGCTGGTTACTGCCCACAATTTAGGCTGTCCATCCGCAACTCAGAAGCAAGCTGCTGTTCATGTGATGCTAGGTGATCTGCAAACTGCTCTAGATAAGGCAGAGAGTTTTTATGCCATTTTAGTGTCTCCTAGTCAAGCATGAAGTGCAGGCACTAGATAAGGGAAGTACCTAGTTGCAGCAGAATTAGCATGTATTCTGCTATTGCACAGTGGACAGCACACAGTGTTGGTGTGGCTTGTCTTCCTCTTTAGTTTTTCTCAGTATAAAATCATTCCAAACAGAAAATCTTTTCAAAATGAAAAGGCTACGATAATACATTTGAATCTCTGCAAATAGCTACAAATTTCTATAGACTAGCAAAATAGCCACGTCTGAAGATAGTGTTGAAGGTTCTTAGAAATATGCAAGGTGCTGGTTAGGGAATAAGTCCTCAGCAGCTACAGGGTTTGGGGGAGGGAGATTGTGTTGTATGGGTGAGTTTGGGTTTGTAGTCTTTTTTTTTCTTTCTTTCTTTTTTTTTTTTTTTTAATTTAATAAAAGACTGAGCAAAGAGTTTTTCTTTGTAAGTTCTTTGTTTTTAGCAGCTCTGTGCTCTCATTGCCACATCTATCTGATGTTGATGTATGATTGCTGCTGTTAAAATTCTCAAAACAAAGCTTACCTGGACATTGAAGAAAAGGAAAATGTAAGGCAGCCTGGTGCCTGTGGCTGCCAGCAATATAGGTTGTCTCACAGCTGGTGTCTGGTAAACCTATTAAAATCTTTGAGGATGTCACAATGTATGTAACAGAAGAATTCATCCCTCAAAGTCTTGGTGTGTCTCACAATGGCACCAGTAAAATTGTTCAGGCTCATCACGTTGCTGGGGTAGGAGCTGTTGCCTGAAAGAGTGGCTGACAATGAGAAAGTACACCCTCATCTCTGCCCATAGAGTTCATGTTCTTTCTCTAGACTTGGAAGTAAGGAGGAGGCTTGTCACAGACTAGCCCCCTGGAGGAACATTTCCACTTTTTGAACGAGAACTGATGTAAAATAGTCAAATAACTTGCAAGCAAATTTAAGTCACAAAGTAAAATTGAAGCGATGGTGGCATTTTGAAGAGAGGTTCTCCCATGACAGTGAGGAGTAGAAACCAAGAGGCATTTATTTTATTTATGGTAGAGGTCTTGGGGATCTGCATTAGCAACTGTAATTGGAAATGCAATTTTTTAAAATTTGTTCAATGTGTTTTTCTAATAGGAACCTGAGAGTTTTCTGCGCTTTTCTGCAATCTTTTCTGGTGCAAAATGTCTATTCAACATCTCCACAATAAGAAAAATTCTGAAGTACTATCTTGTGTCATATTCCATCTCAGTTCTCTAATATAAGCAAAATGCTTCAGTTATGTTTTCTACCTCCTATCAACAATGGTTTCACTTTCATAACGTGCCGTCATTTTAATTTATATTTAAAAAATGGCTTCCAGTGTTCAGTAAGTTTAACTAGTGAAAGCATAAGATAGGCTTTTATTAGTGGTTTTAGTTTTAAAACATTGTAATTGCATAGTTGTTCTTTTAACAGGGTACGTGTTTATATTATCTAATTATTAAATGCTAGCAGTACTGAAAATGAAAATGCAGATTGGAAAATGTTCATCGTAAAGACAGATTATAGGCACTTATCCATGGCAGTAATACTTACCTGGCATGCTTGTACGTGTGTCTTTTACTCGTGGGAATAGTCCAACTAAAGTATGCTCACATAACCAGTAATGACACTCCTGAGGTCTTAATGGGTTTCCCAGGTACTGGTTTTAGTGCCATCTCTTCTTTCTGGAATTCATTTTTTTTCTACTCTACTTCCCCATTTTTTCCTGTCTTCTGCTTTTCTTCTGCCTTCTTTAATCTCTTGCTTCTGCTGTACTTTTCTTGATGTTCTTCATCTATTCAAAGTAGTTGAATCTAGAGCATGTTAATTAATTCAAGATCATTTAGCAGCTAAACTAAGTTGAAGGAAAGAGAAGAGGAAAGTAGATTTTCTTTTATTTAACTTCTGCAACATACTAATCCTGTTCGGTGGATTGTTTTTCAGTTGTGGTGATAAGTACCCTTAGTCTTTTTCCATATGCTTCTGCCAGTTTTGGACATGCCTTCAGTTATTTGTGTGGGTTTGGGTTTGTTTTTTTGTTTGTTTGTTTTTTGTTTTGTTTTGTTTTGTTTTAGAAGTGTGGACTAATACTTCTAAGATACTGCTCTACTATTCTCCATGATGCTTCTCAAGCTATGAATTGCAACTTGGAATAGCTGAACAGTGCAGTTAGCTTTTCCAAACCAAAAACTGTCTTGTTT